CTCTTCAACTACTCTTCCATAATGCATTATCCGCGAATTTTTTATTAATTTTGTCGTAACGTACGGACGTGTCTCGCGATTCGTATAATGACTGTGGACGCATGCAGCGTTCGGAAGTGCATACTGGATGATAATGCGCGTGACGATAATACGGGCCGCGCCGCGAGCCCGAATAGCCATTATGTTACTTCGTTACTACGTCACTTCATGTGGGGGGAGTTGCGGCCGCGACGATAATAGTTCCGTTTCGGCCGCATGTGTACCGTGCGCATGCACTCCGTGGCGGCCAGCGTCGCCTTTGTGCCGCGCTTAATTGACAAATAAACGCGCGAGAACGTCAAACGATCGTAATTTCCACGCGAAGTCGTCGGCGCCAAGTTCGAAGCGCGTTTCTTCGTCGGACTTGTGCAGATGTTGCGCGGATCTCGTTTCGACGCGTGAATAGCGCGAGCTGCTGCAGCTTTAATGATACGAACGCCATTGAACGCCATAAGTTACGCTAATTACGTTAACAATAAATAGTATGTAGGTAGAAAAGCATATCTTTTGACCTATCTCTCTTTCCCCTTCCTCCGCCCTTCCTTCTCTCTCTCTCTCTCTCTCTCTCTCTTTGTCTCCTCCTCTGTCTCTCTCTCCTATCTCTCTAACACGACGACATCGTTATGCGGGCTTTGTAATAATCCGCTCGGCGGAAGCTGAGTTTATACCTGGTGCGCGTATGCACTTTGCGTGCTCTCCGCCAACGGTTCTGCATTCCGCTACTTTATGCGCATATAAGTGGAAGATAACAAACGGTCGGATTCACCGTTATTTCGGTATTGCGATTCCGCTATCTGTATTGTCCGCCGTACTGCTATCCTGCCGCCGTCCTCCATCTCGCGTCGCCACTGCCGTTTTTCTTCGACGAGATGCGAGAGCGAGAAGCGAGCGCGCGCGAATTTTCTTGCGCAGGTCGCTGCGCGAAACGCCGGCCGGTGCTGTTAAATCGGACTTCTTCCCATTCTGGAAGCAAAAGTTCAATTTTAATCGCGCGGAACAACCGCGGCGGTGCCTCGGCGTTCGCCAGTGGCTTGAAATCAAAACTATGCAAGCGAGGCTGCGAGCAAAATTGACGATTTAAATAAAATACATCGTATATACGTTGTCCCTCCTCTCCTCTGTCCCTTACTCTCTTTCTCTCTTTGTCTCTTTCTTTTTTTGTCAGCAGCACTATCGTCACAGTACGAAAAAACATTGGAGACTCTTTCTTATATCAAAAGCTCACCGAAACCCTTCTGAGATAATATCCCAAGAGACCCTCCGGTCCTTTTCTCTTCCTCCGCTTTATTATAAGTAAGGGCCATCGCTAAAGTAGAGACGGTCAACGAGGCGTAAGTGCCGTTCTTTTTGTTACAAGGGGACAATCGAAGTTAAAGTATAGAACTGCGTGGAAAATCTCCACCGAGACATTTCTCAAGAGATACGTGCTGAACATAGGAAGGGACGGGCTCTCGTGTCTGCGACGGTGCTGAAGCCGGCGAAATCAATGCAAACAGAATCACCACTTAATATAATCAATGCAAGTTAATCGGTAAAATCCGTCGACGTTAGGAGAGAACGCTATTCCACGAAGGACCGAACAGACTGTTGAAAACAAGTCCGCTTTAACCCGGAGATGACGAATATGCATTTATTTCTTTTTTTCCTTTACACGAAAATCGAGAGCGTCGCAAACGCCGCTTCAACACGAATTAATAGAGTCTTCACCTGGACAGAATTTTCAGCGAAATACGGTAATCGGGCAGTCTCCCCCGAAGTTACGCCCTTTTAATGTCGAGCGTTTCGAGTTTAAGGTGCGTGCAACGCTCCTCTCTCCGTCGACGAGCGAATCGAGATAAAAGTGCCAGTTTATCTTGTTATTACTAGCACACGTCCGCGAGATCCCGAGTTATTTATTAACCTATCCTCTCTTAATCCCCGACGATCGCGTCGAATTTAGCCGAGGAAAAAGTGACTCTCCCCGCCCAGAACTTCGTTCCGTATACTTTCGAGATAAGCACCGCGGCGAAAGCGAAAACTTTTTGCCACTAAGGAGCAATACGGACTGCGAGCGGAAGGTAGGCTAGTGTGTATATACATGTGTGCAGGTATGCGATGTCGTCGTTGGAAAAGACGTACTTAAGCATGGCTAATCGAGCCCCCTCATAATCGACTGCGAGATTAGGAGTACGGAAGTTCCCCGAGGCAAAGTGACGCTCTCATTGTCCGTCACGACGTTCCCTCCGGAAGAGTCTCGCCTCCTCCGAGTGTGACAATATGTCCTTTATTATTGTCCGCCTACGAAAGTCTTCCCCCGTCCACGGCGAAAAACTGTACAGCCTCGAACGTAATTTAAATCGGAGAAACGGAGGGGAAGGGGCAGGAGGACGCGTGTATATCGACGGGGGTTAGTTTCCAGGGCTATCGCCGACATTGCGCCAGTTGGATCTCACCCTCGTTCGCCTGTCCCTTACTATGCATCGACGCTTCTCCTTCCTTTCTCTTTTCAAGATGACCCCTTCTTTTTTTTCTCGCGAATCGCCAGGAAGCAAAAAGGGGTCATCCGATAAATGGAGTTTATCCGCTTCAACGTGAACATCCATATTCTTCGATCGCGTCGTTTGCGCAGAGCTCGTGTGAAGCGTGTACACAAGTTATCAGGGAAAGGGTGTCGGATAATAGCGCTCTCGGCGAACGGAACGGCATATGAAGGCCGAAATAAGTTTTTCCTATCGCGCCTATCGGAATTTAAACGAACGTCACGTCGTTCCGGCACAACCACTCCTAGTACCGACGTGAAAATATCGCGTCGGCTGACCCTCCTAACCTCACCATCACTACCACCACCACCACCACCACCGAGTTAACATCCCCGCTAATGGACGGTGCGCTCGAAATTAACCGGAAGTCAAGAGAAATCAATTTCCTACGATTTCTCGGTTTTTTCCATAATCGATATCGCCATCCGTTGAGCTCGAAAGGAGCCGAACAGCCCGATCGCAGAGGGGCTTCCATTTTCGGAGCAATTTCGTCGATGCGCCGCGCGTCGTCGTCGCCGTCCTTGTAGTCGTTGCAACCAAGTTTCCCCTCGCGAAACAATTACCGGCGACATTAGTGGCAGCCTTCCTGTCGCGGAAGTGAGGCCGGCGTGCACGTGACAGAACGGCAGAAACACGGAAGAAAAGGCGGAATTCCGGCGCGGGCCGGAATCCGGTGATAATTTGTCGCGGGATTACCGCGCCGTCCGGCGGCGCGTGAAATAATAGTATGCGTTTAATATGAAATAAATCCAGCCGCACGCCGCTCTGTCGCACGACGACGATGCGCATTGGACGGGCTGCGGCAAAGGGAGACGGTAAAGTATCGGCAGAACCGGTACGATCCGCGCGTAATAACACTTTTAATATGTTTTTGTTAAGGGGGGAAATCCAATTAGAACGAGGAAAAATAAGCTATTTTCAAGAATTTTTTTGTAGGAGAAAGAATTTTTCTATATTTTTCAAACTTAAACATTTATTTATATATGTTTTGGACTGTCCATACGTATTTTTTTTTCCAAAAATATTTAAAAATGGCGGACATATGAAGCATCCCATTTGGCAGGTACGCGTGCGAGTTGCTCAGCTGCTGGACAAATGGCGTCCGTGATATTGATCCTATAACAGGCAGCGAAAAAATTCTTATTATTTATACCCATAATTCGTAATTGAACCTAAAAAAATTGAAAAAAGTCAAAAATTTTGAATATGAAACGCTTATGAAAATAAATTTCCATTTTTTGACGTTTTCTCTGCACAATTTTTGCAATAAATAA